TCATTAGCACCTCTAGTAATATATTTACTGAGAAAAATGGTGACATGTTCAATGCTTATTTTACCCACTGTATTTTTCTAATCACGTTGTCATTGATTTATTCCCATCGTGTTATTGCATCATTCTCCTTGTTTGTTTAGGACAGAGTAAGCCAGTTTCGTTCCGAGGTATTTTTTCTTAATCATTCATATTAGACTGTTGTGATGCTTTTTTGTGAACGGCTGTCAAGAAATATGAAACTCCAGGTCTAATGAGAAAAAATATCTTTCAAATATAGACATACATCTTCTTCAAGTTCGGAAGCTTCTTAAAAGTCCCTGTAGCCTCCAGGATGGTAATTTCATTGTCATTTAACCGCCTGTAGAAAGATACAAAAAAAAGGAAAGGGCAAGTTAGGGTCACATTTTTTATTAAAACAAAGAGCTTTACTTGTAAAAAAAAAAGAGTTTTACACTAAAACACAGCTGAAGAGGCTGCAAGTGAGGAGAGGAACGATGCAGCACAAGGCAGCAGAAAATAGAAGAAATAAAAAATTGCAGGAAGGAGGAGGAGAAGAGAAGAGCAATGAATCTTTTCTATGTAGTCATCAATATCCACATTGCTCTAAGCCAAAAGAAAAGAGTTGAGAAGATAGGAAGCCAGACATCTGCTTTATTGGGGTAATTTGTACTAAAAAAGGTACCGCTAAAAGGATGCAGCCTGTGTATGTGTGTGTGTGAAAGCTGCTAAGTGGAGAAACTATCCAGGAATGAAAGTGAAGGTTCAGCTCAGGGGGACCCTTTCTAATGAGATACGAGGTGTTAAAAGTGAGATCAACCTGGAGAAAGCAGAAGTTAGGTAATGTATTGCAAAGCCTAAATTAGCTCAGTGATTGTGTGCAAATGATACTGCTTTTACTGATGAGGTTACTTTGCATATTTTGCAACTGGAAAGTCAGAACTCTTTGCTGATGGTTCTGCAGGCCCTGGTATCAGCTTATAAAAAAGGATCAACATAATTAATTGACTGTAAATTATTCCCTTTAGAAGTCTGATAACATAATGGAAACTTTAAGGGCTTAAGTTCTTCTTCTTTTTTTGCTTAGCTGAAAGAGTCACTAAGGAAGACAGATAGACAGAGAGAGGCAAGGAGCAAAATATATATAAGCCTTCAGCTGAACCACAAACTCTTCTGATTTCCCCTGATAAGGAGGGTTAAAAGGGGCAGGGTGATGGCTGGTGTATGTGTGTGTGGTGGGGGGGGTGATTGTGTTCTTTGAGAAACAGGAAGTGAAAAGGAGATAGGGTGCTCTGTGTCTTCTAACTAACTCTAAAGGACAAACCAGATTTAAATCCCATAAAACACACTGGGAGTGGTTAGTGAGAGAAYGAAAGGTTTCARAAAACACAAAACACGTATGCAACAAATTAAAAGAGGCTTTTAGTAACTAAATATGTTTACTTTGTGACAGTACTTAAGTATTTTTTTAGGATTTGTAATTTTACCAAATATTTTCTAACATTGTAACATTTCTAACATTTAGGTTTTACATATAAAACCTAAAAATGATACATGTACTGCTTTACTTTAAAATTTAAAACCCAGTTACTCATTACAAAATTAAAACTGTCCGAACTCATCATGAAAGGAGTTGTTTATGCACTCTAAAAAAATAAATGTAGAATTTACTCAACAGCTTCCACTATACCTTGTAGAGTAAATGTAGGAATATACATCTTCATTAAAAGAAAATAAGTATGTTGCTCAATTTACTCAACTTGGTTTAATGGAACCAGTTTGATTAAGTAAATTCAACAGTTTAATTCTTACAGCGTGCGTAAAAGTACTTTTACTTTCCCAATCTTTGTGACTTTTATTTAAATATGTTTCTCATCAGTGAAATTTAGTTTTACCAAAGTGATTTTCTGTTAAAGTATTTTTACTTTTACTTAGTTATTTTTTCCAAGTACTTTATAGACCCCTGCAAATCGAGAGAGAAATCTAATCTGTGAAATATTGGCAGAATTAACTATCATAAAGAGACAGTTCTTTTTTGGACTGTCATATGCATTGCATTTGTGTGTTTTTTAACATCTAAAACCTCATTGTTTGAGCTTCAAACATGTTTGAATCTTATAAAATTGAATGTGTTTATTAAACAAAACTAAACTGTAGCTTTCCGTGTGATTTTTTTAGCAGCAAATTCACTCAAAACCTACATATTTATGGAGAAAATGTTGACATATGACGAAATATTAGCTGACTTACAGGTCAGTGGTGTGTTCGGGGATATGTGGGGGTATTCGAGTCAGTTTGAGATTGGAGCAGTCGACCACTGTGCCCTCACAGCGACATTTCTCTGGACAAACCAGATCCTGAAAACACTCTCCACTCAGGCGGCTGCGATAGTCCTCCTGACCTGCAAGAGCAAAGCAGCAGTGTGAGATAAGATCAAAATGACAGAACACAACAGACTTGCGAAGGAGATGGAATTCTAAAGGTTGATTTGACGGAAACAGGAAAGAACGGAGGAGAAATGATTTGAYRGAAAATAAATAGGACAGAGTAAACAACAGTTGCTAAAATACAACAATATGATAGTTTTAGTTAAACAATAAAAGTACAACAGAAAAATTTTTGTAAGTCATCAGAGGTCTTGATTTCATTGCTAGCCTTTCTGCTATTTATTTTATTTTTTGTGTGCTAGAACTAGATTTTTTTTTAATTTTTATCTAAACCAAGTAACAATATGTAGCCAACAAGACACCAATGAGCTACATCAAACTGTTTCTCCATCTGTTGGAAGGAACAGGTTGCAGATGTCCCTGCAGCACAATACGACTGCTGCAAAAAGAGGCAGTGCTGTACGGGTACCTCTGTAAATCAAATTAACAGACAGACATCCAGGTGGTTTTATAAAATCATCTTGGAGATAAATGCGGTTCAACCCCGGATGTTTTTGTTTAACAGGGTGCGCCAGAGACCACTTCTGTTATTTAGATGTAATGCGAGCAGATATCATTTATGATTGCTTCTGACTGTAGTGAAGACCTGGTTTACATCAGGCAGCACTTGTGTTTGAGCACCACATAATGAACTCTCTTTATAGTTCTGATGGCTATCATTACTTTCATTTCCTACTCTTAATTTGTATTTTTTTTTTGGTCAATCTGTTTTCTGTTATTTCAACTTCCTCTGCTTTTTTACCATTCTCATGTCGGACTGTTTATACTTTGGCAGAAACACGTTTTCTTTCATTTTCTATCTCCACTTTCTACTGGCACAGGTTTTTCTGCTTGTAATTGTTCATCAAACAAAACCACAAATTAAGAAATKGGTTGCAATTTAACAAAAAACTTGTTTTGAGCTTTACATGTGATCAATATTCTTTAACTGAAATCTATCTTCTAGAGGATGCGGTTAGTTCTCTTAATGAAAAAAATATCTTAAAAAACGACCATATTGCTTCTAATTTTGTTGGATGGTAAGCCCATAGAAAGGATAAGAGCAAGGATAAAAATATAAGAATGAATTTGGAAGGCGGGTAAAAAGGAAAGCAAAGAATGCAAAGTGAATTTAGTAATTTTAAGAGTTATATTTATTCACAGGAGCAAAAGGATCAGCCATGCACCCCTGAAATGCAGCCATGCCATTGAGCAATTTAAATAGAAAATATTCTCACAAGCAGTCATTTTTACTGCTTTGCAACAATATGCAGTAATGTCCAAAACAAACAGCAAGATGATAATCACTGGAGCTTCTGTTTAAAATCCTGTGTAGAATTTAAATCTATGCAGGCAGTTAAGCAGTCAAGGTAAATATGGAGGGTTTATTTTTGTTTGTTTAACTATTTTTAACTGAGGTTTTGAGAAAAAAACATTATAAGTTAATGGATTTAKTTGTTGCCCCCCTTTTTTGACTTATTGTGTACAATCACATGGCGAGTGCAACAAACAAAAGCCTGCAGGCACTAACACAATAATTTCCCCCATTAGTTGATTGGGTTATGCAAGAAAAAAGCAAAGGAAAGAAAGTGAGTAACAGAGATTAAAAAAAAAGCAAGAATGCATATGACTGTAAGCTGGCAAAAATGTGTAGCATTTTATTTTTATAGAAATTTAAAGTATTTTCAAATTATTTTATGGGATAATGAAAACAATTGGCACAATTAAAACATTAACTTAATCCATATGTATATATATA